GATCGTTGGTTTGATCCGGTGAAGGACAAACAGTTGTAAATATTCACAATAGGGAACACTGAAATAATAAAGTACCTCACTGTAGAAAGAGTAAAGGATTGTAACATCGGAAGACTTAATGTAACTCAACCAAGCCATTTTGTATCCATCAAGCTTGTGCCAAGTTCAACAGTTTAATTTTGCAACAATTTACGCTCTGATAACAATAAACCTGTTCTTTTTGTGTTTTAAACTTGCCTCCTTCACTGATTTCCACGTTTGAAGCATTCCACACTACCCAAGGTGCCTCACAACACAGATAAGGATAACCAGAGATCATTTTTACCAATATCACTTATATTATGGTGGCAATTTAAGCTAGAAGTCTCAAATCTTTATTACATCTGTGTGGTGATCCTATTTATTTGGGATTTTACACCATTATTTCATTTTGGAGACTTCCTCACATATTTTGGTGGCAGCAAGTGAACAGTTTTAAATTTTTAGTAACAAGCGGTGGGAGTCACGGCTTCGCACAGACAATTAAGATAAGCGGTAAAGGAAAATTGTCATCTATCAAGCTAAAATGTATGGCAAAATGGTGGTCTACAAATGCCCACTGCCTTGTTTCTTCAATGGAAATTATTCTGACATCAAATGCAGATTTGTTGTGAAAATATATGATAAAACTAGCTGTTCTTAATATGAACTTACAAAAACTAGTGGCTTCCTCTTTGCTAATATGTGTGCATCTGCATATCACTATTGGGATCACTGTGCTAAAATATTAATGCTTCCCTGCCAAGAGTATTCAACTTCTTCCCCTCACTCTGCCAGATTAGCATTGAGTGCAACAGAAGGACTGAGAGTCTCTAAAGAAATAATGCTTATTTAACAAAGCCAGTAACATAAAGTTTGCTTCCCTCTCCCCTCCCCATCATGAGACTTAAGTGGATCTGAAGCATAGAGAACACATCTGTGAAGGGCAGTTGGCCAATCTGAAGAGATTATCACAAATTTTGTATAAAACAGAATTTAGGTCCCTTTTTTTGCATGCAGTTTGGAATTATAAATTTGTGATTGTGCCATGAATCACAAAAGTCAAGGGTGGCTAATTGAGTAATTAAAGTAGTCAATATTTGCCTACATCTTCTTCCCAGTTAATTACACCCTTGAAAATTCTTTTTGTTTTACACCCCAATAAAATAGTTGGTAACTAGTGCCACGCAAAGGAAGAAGTATATATTTTCACTCACATTTTGATGGAATTTGTTTACAAATAGGGGACTAAAAATAATACCAAGTTCTATACTGTAGAATTCTACAGCCTCCAGAGCTGTAGTTCTCAACCTGTGGATCCCCAGATGTTTTGGCCTTCAACTCCCAGAAATCCGAACAGCTGGGAAACTGGCTGGAATTTCTGGGAGTTGTAGGCCAAAAAATCTGGGGACCCACAGGTTGAGAACCACTGCTCCAGAGTACCACCACTTAGATAAAATACAAAACTGAATGGGAAACTAAGTATCCTATCTGGTGTAATCTAGACATTTGTAACTGAGTATCTTCTCGGTATTTTTCATCATCTTTGGCTAGGATGAATGTTGACTGTGATGGGAACTGTAGTCCAAAATATCTGGAATTTGACAGTTTGTGGAAGGCTAGGATAATCTGTGTTACTGTTCCTCCAGTGGTTCTTCTGCACAGCCATATAACCCAAAACATCAAGACAGAAAATCCCACAATAATCTACTTTGAACTGGGTTATCTGAGTCCACAGTGTCATATATTGCAGTTAAAAGGAAATGTAGGATTTTATTCAGCTGTGTGGAAGGAGACCAAGCTGGCTAGTGATTCTTTCTTTTCAGTGGTGTAGCAGTGGTTAGATGACTAATTTACAAAGAAAAAAACAAAAAAACCTGTATGAAATAGTTCTTGTCAGTTTGAACTTGGTCACAATGCAAGTGCAATACCTTATACCAGCACTGGAAGGGAGCAAATTTGTCAGTCACTTTCTAAGGAGAAAGGTTCTGAAAAGAGAAGGGTTTTAAAAATCATTTTGACCCCATCCCCCAAAGAAACTAGGGCAAAAGTATGAGAGCTGGGACCCTACGCTGGTTGCGCACCGCAGGTCAGAATTCATGAAGGGAACATATGTGCGAGGTACAAAAAGTGAGAGACACAGCTGCAAGGGAGGGAGGAGGAGGGTGTCTATGGTTCACACGTCCCTCCCGGAGCTGCGGCTCCTCCACTGTCAGAAAGTGGGTGGCGGAAAGCACAAGAAGAGGGGAAGGTGGGATCCAATTCCTGCCACTTTGTTCACACTAGGGCTTTGAAAAAACTTTCCCCAACCACCAGCACACTTTCTGCCCTTCGAAGAAAGCAGCCCCAGCAGCTGGGAGCAGTCCAAGCAGACTTCCCTTCATTAATTCTGACTTGTGTTGCACAACCAGCGTACGGGTTCCAGCTATGCGTAGGGCTGTCATACTTTTGTCAAAATTAGATATTATCTCTTAACGCCCTTCCACACAGCCATATAACACAGAATATCAAGGCAGATAATTCACAATATCTGCTCTGAACAAGATTATCTGAGCCCACACTGTCATATAATCTAATTCAATGAGGATGTTATGCAGCTGTGTGGAAGGGGCCTCAGAGGTGTGCTATTGCTGATTATGTTATGAGAGAAAAAGGCTTTTATTAAAGGGTAAAATATATTTAGTTCATATACACACTTGTGAATGCTATACTGACTGCTTCAAATTAGTTTAAGTCCACTTGTGACCCTCCATATTGTATGGGACAGCCTTCCATCTTCCCTCACTATTGGCTGCTATGTTTGTGGCTGATGGGAGCTGCAATCCAACAACACCTTGAAGGATGCAAGTTGCCCATCTCTATTTAAATTAGACCATATTCTTAACTTTAAAAAAAAACACAGAACAAGACTAATTTAAGGAAGTCATTCCTATAGCTCAGTGGATCTCAACGTGTGGGTCCCCAGGTGTTTTGGCCTTCAACTCCCAGAAATCCTAACAGCTGATAAACTGGCTGGGATTTCTGGGAGTTGTAGGCCAAAACACCTGGGGACCCACAGGTTGAGAACCACTGCTATAGCTCTTAATGGGTATTGAGCAATGGCATGCTATACAAAATTAGAGTACAGTAGTCTCTCACTTATTCAACCTTTGCTCATCCAATGTTCTGTATTATCCAATGCAGTCTGCCTCTCGCCCATACCCACAGCTGTTTCAGTACATTGCAATGTATTTGTAAATACAGTAATAATTACTACATAATGTTACTGTGCATTGAACTGCCCTTTCTGTTGATTTGTTGTAAAATATGATGTTTTGGTGCTTAATTTGTAAAATCATAAAGTAATTTGATGTTTAATAGGCTTTTCCTTAATCCATCCTTATTATCCAACTTTGTGGCTTATTCAACATTCTGCCAGCCTGTTTATGTTGGATAAGTGAGACTCTACTGTACAAGATTTCAAGGAGGCCTGTCTATACTGAGTTTGTAAACATTGTAAAGAAGATTTTTTTTTACTTTTCCTCTTGCCTTACAAATAATAGCTATCAGAATATGTTATACACAACTATTGAAGCCTGTCCTGCTATCTTCTATACCAAGTTATGTCAGAAAATGACTAATTTTCACAAAAGTGCTGCCACATTTTAATAGGTACATTTAAAAGAGCCAGCAACTGATTTCAGGCATTTTGTAGAGATGAAACTCATCTATTGTTCATAGTATGCACATTTATACCACTACCATGTTTCTTAGAGCTTTAAAAAAAAATCTACAAAACATATTTTATCTAACTCAGAGTGGAGCAAGATAACTGGATGTGTATATGGAAGTAAACAATTACTATCTTATCAATTTAATTCTATTTTTTGCTCCTTATTACAACCATCTAATGAAGGAAGAAAGGAGGAATGTCAGACTATATTTTCCAAAGAAAACCAAACCTCATTGTTTGCACTGAAGAGGAACAAACAGGCATGAAGGAAATGTAAGAGCCAGTATGGTTTGAATTGGGAAGTGAAGGTAGATAGCCTCCTCCTGGATATACAGTTCTCTGACTATTCTCAGCTTCTCAATGTTTGAGGGCTTCAGTTTCCCATCTTTAGAAACCTGATTCATAGGACAGATGTGAAGATGAAGTTAGGTGTGATTGGGAAATAATAATATGTAACACATATTAGCATGTTCAGGAAAGATTTATGGGGAACAAAATGTAGAACAGCAATGTGTTACCAACTATAAAAAAAATGATCTGATCTTAAAGACACACTGGAAATGCAAGAGTTACAGGGGATGAAGTGTGCCACAGGATCATTTAGACCAGCCCCTTGGCTAGCTCTTCCTTACATCAGTCTCCTCCCCTCCCAACCCAAACAATATCACAGCAATCCAAAAGAGACAGCAGCAGCCCATTGGTTTCACCAACTGAAGTGGGATAAAACCACCAATAAAGTTGAGTGACGGAAATCAGCTACTGTAGAAAAATGTTCTCACAGTTGAATGCAAGAACCATGCAAGCAGCCTTTTGAGGCAGAAATAATTCTTCATGGCAGTGATCATCAACATTTTGAAGTCAAATTCCATTCCATGTCACAGTAATACACGGATAACAACATTCTGCAATAGTGAATGCTTGTAACATCAGCCTGTACCATTGTGGACTAAATGATGAATGGATTTGCTATAAATAAATCTCTAAATGATGTTTAGTATCGAACTCAGATGCTTTTCTGTCATTCTGGAAGAGAAAAAAAACCTATGGCATCAAGCAGAGCGGGTGGGTTTCTTTGCCCCTGAAAACCCATACATGCTGTAAAGTAAAATACCATCTTAACTTACTACAAGAGTTTAAAAAAGCTCCTGCATTGCACAGTACTCCAAATATTTTCAGCAGCCGCTATGCTTGAAGCTTGAGAATACTGCAAGGGCATGCAGACTGAATGGTCTAACACTCATTGCTCAAGAGACAAAAGACATCGACTGACCTTTCTGCTGTTTAAATGACTGAATAGAGCCCGAGTGGTGAACCATCTTCATGCAGGAGATTTTGGCCGTAGCACTGTAATGAGCTTGAGAGAATCAAGGTGTTGCAAAACAGGAAACAGACTGCCTCACTGCTCCATAGACACCAGCAGATTTGAAACAGCGATGTAAGTCGGCACCTGCTCCAACGAGCGCTCGGCTTGGAAGAATCTACTCCCCTCTGTTGTCATAGAAACCAGAAAGACTGGTCCAGCATCACACTCCCCTTAGTGGATGCTTTAGGTATAATTCATTACATCAATCTAATGGGAGAATGCAGCAGTATATTGTTTTACATCTTCTCTTGCTACAAGCCATTTATGTGTTTGATGAAGAAAACCCAAACACCTCTGCCCTACTTCTTTTAGTGTTCACTATATCAGTAAACTCTTTTCAGTTGCCAAAGAGAGAGATTCTCTTCAGCTACATCAGTGGTGAGAAAATGTGTGTCACCAACTGATGACAAAGGAGTTTTGCAGATAGCCATCATGTCTGATTGTTTTTCTTAACTTTTAGTGTTCTCTAGTTTTGCATCTCTGTAGATCACCTACTTTACATGTGCCAGTTACTATGAAAATAATCTCTATGGGTAAACTTGCTATGTGGATTTCCATGATTTTTTAGTTAGGTGCAAAGGCATTGGCTATGAAGTCAATGCATTGTCCCCTCTGAGTTGGTGATTACAACTTTCCCTTTCAAACAATTAGCATTTCTCTGTGGTCACCATGATGCAAATGGATCCTTCAGTTCATTCATCTTAAGTGCAGCCATAACATTTAATGCATTTTCCATTAAAGACTTCCCTAGGAACACAGAGAAAACCAAAGGATTGGTGGGGATATTGGCATGAAAGCAAGCCCACTTTGAATGCCTTCACCTAGGAGCACCAGAACACTTAGTGTGAAAGTCTGAGAAGGCTTTTGGCAGCACACAGTTACAGAGTTCCCATGAGTAGGAATTTATTTATTTATTTATTTATTTATTTATTTATTTATTTATTTATTTGAAACATTTATATTCTGCCCTTCTCACCCCGAAGGGGACTCTGGGCAGAGCACAACATATAAATGGCAAACACAATGCCGGGACACAAACAGACTATACACATACATAAACATTAAAATCATTTAAATTATTAAGGAACCATACATTACTGGTTAACAAACACTCTTGAATTATATTCAGCCAAATGCATTGAAGCTCTTTGACAATGGGCATATCTACACTAACCATTTGATACATAAAGTGGGCAAATCAGCTCTGTAGTGGCTAAACACAGGCCACCTTAATACGGCCTTGAGCCTCATGAAACAAAGTCACAGATTGCTTCAAATTCTCCCCCAGAATCTGGAGCAAACTGCGACTTTGGGCCAGTTCCAAGATGGAACTTCTAAAACTGTTCACACATCCATCCCATGTTTCCTGGAGTGATAAGATGATCAAAGAAGGAGAGGGGAAAAGAGGGGCCAAAAACTGCACTTTTTTTCTTTTGCAGAGTGTTGTAGCTCAGCAGCAGTCACAGTAGCCAAGGGCTGATGGGTTCACTGATGACTTAGAGTCAGATGGGATTGTGAGCTTTCCTGGGATTCATTCTGATGCAGGCATAGACACATGGCCCGAGAATGTAATTGCCTTTGAACCTCAAGGTCAGTCACAGGAGTTGAAATCATCCTCTCTAGATAAGGAGTATAGCAAAGACAAATTGATGAGAAACTCTCATGGGAACCTCATGGACCTGGCAATACTGACCTAAGCAAGAAGCGTGCTTACAGATTAAAACAGGTAGCCAGCTTTGTTGATCAACACACTTTGTGGGGAGGCAGATGTAATGCTTTCATGTCTGTTTATTAGAAACTAATGGGCACTCTGATTTCAGTTCAGGCAAAGTGGCTTTCAAGTACCGCTAGGCCTGGGTTCACTAGTTCTTGTTTCAAGTCTTGGTTTTGGATTTAAGTATTCTGGAAGTTCTCCATGTTCTTGTTTTGAATTCTTGTTCAAGTTTTGCTTATGGACTTAAGCTGCCTTTGTATTTTGGGACTATCTTTGGACTGTATTGCTTCTGGATTTATAAGTGACAATTGATTGCTGACTTTTTGGATTATTTCCTTATTCCTGCTTCTTTACTATATATCTTTTGTGTGGTTTTGCAATAAATGGTTCGCCACTACTCTAGACTCTTGTGTGATGCTATGGTCATAGGTGGCTTCAGGCCTGGGGTGCAACACAGAGTCACATACCCCTAGTGGCCATCCAGTGGAACTGAACCGGTTTGACACCGCTGGACAGTCAGGACTCCCTCCCACCTCTGGAGTGGCTAGGGAATTGCAGTTTAACCATATTGATCTGGCATTAATCACTTTGGATTGATCCCAGGATAAGTGGTCAGTATATATTCAACCACTGTTGCAGTGTAAGGAAATTATTCAGGCAGTGGGCCTTCTCTTCAATCCCCACTATCATTTAGCCTCCCTGTGTGTTCAGCCAAACAACTTAATTTAGGCATAAGATGAGGGGGAGAGATTCAGATGTATCACAGTGCATTCACAGAAAATAGGTTTGCAAGGCCACACAGGTTATCCTCACCTCCTACTGCATGCAAGTTTGCAGTGTGCAAGAAATTGTCTTTTATTTCAGGGTTGGTCATCAAAGGACTATGTGTATACACATTATATTTAATTACAGTATTTAAAATATTGTTGATTCAGAATCCATGCTGTCAGGACAGTATTCAGCAGAATAATAAAACATTCCTTGATGCAACAAGAAATCATAAACACATCACATTAAATGCAGCAACAAAAATGAAACAGTAGAGCAAATTAAATAAACCAGTGTGTTAGTTTGAAATGCTGCACAACTATAATCAGGAATAACAAAATATAGTGATTCTCTCAATAAGCATTTATGTTATTGGTAAACAGACAGTGTGCTTTTCTTGAAAAGTGGGCAGCTGGGTGGAGGGTGGATTGAAATCTCACACAGGGGAGAGATGGCCTAGATCCCAAAGTTTAAAAATGTGGTATTGAGAATAGAGATGGAATTTTCCATTATTCTTTTTGTACTGAGCCCCCTAATGCGGGCAAAAATCTTTCATCCACCTTCCTTCAATACCACTTAAAATACTGTTTTAAATAAATATATTGAACAAGATATAGTCCCATGATATTTTCATTGCTCTTCTTTTCTATGATGTTAAATCTTTTTGAGCCAATGAACTTCAACAGTTACTATAATGTATTTGGCACTGTTTGGTTTATTAATTTGTAGATTGATTGTATACACCATCTTGCTTCTGAGATGGGATTCCTCCATAATAAAGGAATCACTGCATTTTGAATTTTGGATTTTGTTGGATTCTACAAAAATGAGTGAGTGTTAGCTTGGTGACAAAAAGATATTAGCAGAACTAGGTCAACAAGTTTCAATGAAGCAAGCAGTTCAGAAGCGAAGTGCTATCACAGATAAGGTTATTTGCCAATTATATGCTAATAAGCTTCTCCTGGCAAGGAACTTAAAGAAAATCTTCCCATTTAAAAACACTCTTGCTATACTTTCATCTTTATATTGTGTTATCAATTAATGAAATTTGGGACAAAAATCTATTTGTGCATTTTGGTTTTCTGAAAAATATGGTGTTGTTTCCAAAGTTTCCAAACACACTGAGAGTTTTGCATTTTAAATCTAAAGGTTTTTTAAAATAATAAACAGAATTTAATTTCTAAATTTTGTGTAGTGTTTTATATTCACATTTTATTATAGGTTTATTTTCTTCAGTTTCATTGTAGATTTAGGTCAACAGTAGCAAAAAAAACCCCCCCAATCCCAACTCTAATTCAATTCTAGCTGAAGAAACAAAAATACAATGTTTGGAGCAAGAGAAATAAGAACACTGATTTGCTTTACTCAGATCCCATGCGGAGAACAAGTCCAGTTCTGGGCATTGCAAGTTAAGAATCTGGAAAAAAAAAATCCAGAAGGTAGCAAAGAAGATGAAAGGTGTGGAAACCAAATCCTACAAGAAATTATTGACGCTTTTTAATGTTTAACCTGAAGAAGACAGAACTTAAAAGTGGAACAGTAGCTATGTTCACATACCTGAAAGATCTGTCACATGGAAGACAGAACACAGGCAATCTCAAAGAATTATTGCATTTAAAGGGAGAAATGGTATAAACTAGTTTAACCTTCTGCTATGCAGGAATGCACAATTACAGCACTCCAAAAATATATCTTTCCAACCTCCAAGGAAGGAGGGGTTATCATCCAAGGTCATTAATTTCACTGTTGAGCAGTTTTGACCGAAAATAAATTCTTCCAGATATTTGGGTGGAATTTATTTTTCTGTTTTGAATCAATTTGTTCCCATTCCAATCTGTGACGCAGCAAAAAAATATCTGGCTTCATCTTCTTTATGGTATTTGTTTCCAGATATTTAAAGATCATGTCATCTCTTCTACAAGCTAAATATACCTGGCTTCCTAATTCTTCATAGAATCATAGAGTTGGAAGACACCACAAAGGGCAAACAGTCAACTCCCCTTCCATGCAGGAACACATTGTCAAAGCACTCCTGACAGATGGCCAACTAGCCTTTGTTTAAAATCCTCCAAAGAAGGAGAATCCACTACACTCCTGGCAGCATATTCCACTGTCAAACAGCTCTTACCATCAGAAAGTTCTTCCTAATGTTTAGATAGAATGTCTTTTCCTAAAATTTGGATCTATGCAATCCACAGTGTTACAATGATACTCTAAATATAAAGTTCACTTATCTATTTTGGTGATAGTCCTGTGAGATCTCCCCCCCCTCCCCCCAAAATCAGGCCAAAAATGTAAAATATTTTTGTTTATTTTGAATTAGAAGGATTCTCTGCAAATAAGAATGTAAGAAATGTGAGCATGGATTAGGGAACAAGACTTGTAAGAAAAGTGGATTATGCAAGGGCACTCATGCAAAGCAAAGCTTTTTCAAATATTTTCTCGCCATGCAGGCTTATATCTGCCTGGAGAAAACATTTCTATAACAGTTAACTTAAAAAGAACCATATGTTGAAAAGAATGTCATTGCACCCAAAAAGACAAGGGTTATTATTTATTTATTTATTTTGATGAAGCAGACACTTCTGTGAATTTGTCATTTTGTTAGCTAGCAACTTACATGTGCATCAATAGTATAAATATTGA